GAATCACTGGCTGATTTAACTTTGTCTTTAGAAATTAATCCAAATAATTCTGAAGCTTTAAATAATCGTGGATTAACTTATCAACAAATGGGTAGATATGAAGAATCACTAGCTGATTTAACAATGTCATTAGAAATTAATCCAAATAATTCTGACGCATTAAATAATCGTGGATTAACTTATCAACAAATGGGTAGATATGAAGAATCACTGGATGATTTAAATAAATCATTAGAAATCTGTCCAAATGGTACTATAGCATTGAATTATCGTGCATTAACTTATCAACATTTGGGAAGATATAAAGAATCACTTGAAGATTTAGATAAATCATTAGAATTATGTTTATCAGCTCATTCTAGAAATTCTATTAAAACCCGTACTGATTAATATACTATATATGCAGCATAGTTTGATAAGTAGAGTATTATGTAAACATCGGCGGAAAATCTTCATACTGTATTACTGATTGAACATGTAATAAATAGGTAATAACAAATTTGATTTGTATTCAAAAAAAAAGTTTAAAACCAGACTAACCAGACTAATCAGACTATGGTGGGGAAAACAAAAGGTTGGAACAAATAGGATATAGTTCGCATCAAAATTTTGGGAGAATTTTTTATTGTTAAACCTAAAAGATAGCTTAATAGTTAAAATCATCATATTTTTGGTATACCTTTATACATTTAGTATTAATGAAACTGTCTAAATATTATATAATTTATGATTTAAGTCTTGTAATATAAATAAATATTATTATAATTTTAGATTTGTTTTAAAAATCAAGAAAAAAATAAACATTGAGATAAACATGAGTTTCAGATTTATAACTTACTTATCGGACGACCCGGCTTGGTGCCATATTAGGTTAAGTCGAGTAAATAAAAATAATAAACTTGAAAGTTTAAAACCTGCTTTACTCATATATGGGTAAGGTATGTATTTAGTCGGTCGACGAGATCGTAAATCTTTCCTTTTTTGTTTTTGCGGACATTTTCGGAATTACTCTGAGAACTGCATAGTAAAAATGTTAACATTCTACGTAAGAGTAGTGGTGTTCAATGACAAAATGTTGTTTAATTGTACTCCAATGACGAAAAAAAAATTAATTGCAAGCTTCCAATGACGAAAAAAAAATTAATTGAAAGCTTCCAATTCTGTAATTCGATTATTTTTATTAAAAAAATATGCATAAAACCTTCCAATAGTGCTTACTCACACAACATTATTATATATTATAATAACTGTGTATAGCTGACGATGATTTGTTTGCTATGCCATAATATCATATTGCTGAAACACGAAAAAAATACAATAAAAGAGTAATAAATATTATTATATTAATCCTCTCAAACTTTAGCCTTAACATTAGAATTAGATAATCTATCTATTTCAAAATAAGTAGCTGCACGACATTGTCACGCAAACCAGGATTTTCAGATCAAGTTGCAGATGAAACTGCTTTCATCATGAGTTTTTTGTTTGCTTAACTTTTACAAGTTTTATTTGCAACTTTATATTAGATTATACTTAACTTTTACAAGTTTTATTTGCAACTTTATATTAGATTATATGTGCAGTAGGTCGAATACTAACTATGTTATTTAGATGGACTTTATATGCAATTCAGATAGATTAGTATTAGTATGGTATAGATGTAGCAT